GCACAACCTGAACGGTATCACTGAGCCAAATGAACCACTGCTTCTTGTAATGCCTTCTCCTGTCCCCTTCTGGGGTGCACATATATATAAACAGATGCATTTATCAGATGCCTGTGTCTTTATTGTACGGACACCATATACCCTGTTTCTTTGTAACAGATTGTTCTGTCATTGTTCCACCCATTTGTTGTCTGTAAAGAGGCTGCATTTCAGAAACTTTTGTTCCAGGTGCCTATCACTGGATTGTCTGTACTGAAAAAAAGTTCAGATGACTTTTAAGTGACTACTGATGTATAACACTGTTTCAAATTTATAACGGGAGATAACTTCTGGGGAGTATGTTACTCTGCTGTTCTTATGAGAAGTCTCTTTTGTGCAAATTAGTCTTTCCCCAAATGGCACAGTTACAAAAATAGCTAGCCTGAAATTTAAAAAAAAAATCTAATAAAGTAATTCATTCAGACATTATTTCTGAGTTGCAAATCCGTCGTTCCCGTAGAGAGGGGGACATGTTCCCAAGGAAGGCTGCCCCCTTCATCACAAATGCCCCATTTAGTGGAAGATAGTTGTGAAATTTCCCCTCAGCAGGTGGATGACTGCGGTGATGGAAAAGCCATGCTCCCCAATGGGCTTCGCGAGGAGGTTCGTGTTTGTCTCTCCATCTTGTCATCCGATGGAAATTTAGAAGATGCCTCCTGCAGAAATATTTGTCCTGACAGCCTGTCCAGATGACATTAGCAGACCCCTCCAAATTCCCAATAAACACATCTTAAAACCATTCACCACTCTGACTGTGGAGGGCACAGGGATTGCACCTCACTCCCGTTACACCCAGTGAGGTGACTGTGACCCCCTCTACAGACCTGCAGCCCCTGGCCTGAGATCTCCTCCAGAACTGGGTGCTTGGGGGGGTTCTGCACATTTCACACTGATGAAGAGCAAACAAGTGTTGTTGGCGTGCACACACCGGGGTCTGGAGTCCACGCCTGAGGTCCTCATCCTAATTCCTAGCCAAGGGGTGCAGCAAGGGCTGTGCAAAGCCCAGGACAGGCAGCGGGAGCTGGTCCCACTTGCCTCCTGCATCCTCTCACTGTGGGGCCTGGGCTGGTGGGGACATACATGGGGGAATGGAGCAGAGGGGAGGAGAAGGGAAAGAGGGAGGGAGAGGGCGAGGGAAAGGCAGCTCACGGTGCCGCTGGCGGTGCCCGGGTGGGACGAGGCTCGGCCCCGCCACGCCACGCCGGGCCGG